TCAACACAAAGCATTGTAAATACAATAATCTTTATCTTGTTAAGAATTTTGACCAACAATATCAACAGATTTGATAATACTACAATATATATTGTTTGTTTGTTTTATTGTTAAATAAATATAAAATTGAATTGATTGATAAGATAATTGAAAGCAATTTGGAATCCTTATCTTTTGTTTTCATTATTCAAATATTGAATGTTCTTGGAAAAAAAAGGTTATTTTTTTCTTCGTTTTCTTTTGTTTTTGGATAAACAATATAGTGACACTTTTTTTTAAACTAACTAAAGACAATGTAAATCGATACAAATTCATTAGCTTTGAATAATTAATTAATTTTGAAAAAAATTTTTTTGAAATTTTAAATCTAAAAGCAAGAAAGTGTAAGAATAAATGACATAACATTTTCCCAAACATAAATTAATTACATTGCCATAAATAGGAAAAAAAAGAGGTGACAATTTCTTAATAATTTTTTTTTGTTTTGTCTTTGCTATGACAAGTTGAATGAATAATAAAACATGACACATTATGAGAGAGAGAAAGAGAATAAAATATCATTATTTCTTAACACATATGGAGTTTGATGGTGATAATAATAATAATGATTAATCATACTAATTAATCAATTATCCATATTATTAATGCTTAATGATAATAAAATCATCATCAGAAGCTTTTTTTTCCCATTTCTATATATTGAATATTAACATTGAGATTGTTTTTTGTTTTTTGTTTTGAAGAAAACTGTTTTTGTTGTTAATACCAGAAATTCTGAGAAAGTTTTTTGTTTGATTCTGCTTCCAGCCTGTGTTAATTATCAAAGGTCAGAATTTTTTTTTGTTTACTGTTGCTGTAGTGACAACATCAACAACGTTTTAGGATGGTCGGTTAAATTAGAACGGAATTTGATTTTTTTTTTGAATTATTTTGTTTCAGTAACATGGTGATAATATCAAAATTTCATCAAATAAATTTTGTTCGTCGGTTTCTTTTTCGTCAAAACAAAAGACACATGCCGTCATCTTGGTAAAATTTTTTCATTAATAATTTTTTTCTGATGGTGGTGGTTGTTCATGGATGCAAAAATTTTTGTGGCGTCAAAAACAGTGTGTTCACCAATCGAATTTTTTGGAAAAAGTTTTCCTATCACCGTTTTCATTTCGAAATTTCTAATGAGTTTTTTTTTCTTGTTTGATAACAGCAATGTAAAAGTTTTTTTTTCCTGTTTCAAGGTTCAATTCTTTGCTTTTCTTTCTCGAATATAAATTCAGCTGCTTATGATAAACTAAATTAAGGGTAAATCAAACTGTCTTGCTTATAGAAATTCTTTTTCTTCCCCAAGTTCGATAAAAACTTTTTAAAAAAAATTGAATCGAATTAGAAATAATTAATTATGTTGTGCGGAAAATCATCATCATCGATAGTTCAAATTCGAGAATTCAAACAGCGAAATAATAAAAATTTGATTCCTGCTGAAAACATTAACGATCACTGTGTGTGTGTGTTGCCCGTTAATTTTCTTTCAATTTTCATCACTATAGTTTTGGCGACAAATTATTTTTAATTTTATCATTTTCTTTATTATTATGTTTTTATTTTTAGCAAAGTGATAATAAATTTGCCATTTGGGATATTTTTTTTTCGGTCATTTTGTTTTTGATTGGTGGCCATAAAAATTGAAAATTCGTGACAGGAATTATTGATTCGTTCAATTCAAATGATGTGTATGTGTAAAGTCCTGCTCTCTACTTAATCAAATCGGGTCAGTTTTCAAGTCAAGTCTTGTTATCAAGAATTTTTATGCATATCAAATAACTGGAATCATTTACAACGACTAAAGATTTTCGAATAATGTTTGTTTGATTCTGTTTTTTTTTCTCTCTCGAAAAAATTTATAAATTTTCAATACGCAATTGCAATTGCATCTTGAAAAGTTAGCAAAAAAAACAAAATTGGTCTACGTGTTCAATGTTATTATCGTCATCATCCAGAAGAAAAAATATATTAGCAAGCACATTTCCATTTCCGGAAATTTTTTGGAAATGAAGAAAAATTGTTTTCTGCCAACCAAACTAAACAAACGAACAAAGCAAATTGAATTGAAAAAAAAAAATAGTAACTTGACATATCACAAAATAAAATCTAAATGTTGAGAATCGAAAAAAATGAATTATTTGAATGATTCAACATTTCAAACTTTATTCGATACATTATTGTCATGAAAATTATTTGTTATCAATGAAATTTTTTTTGTGACAATCATCAATATGGCCATTCAAAAATATTGTGTCAAAAATATCGTCTGCTGCTTCTGCTGCTGTTATTGCGTTACTGTCCGGATGTTATCTTTCGACGAATACATTTCAACAACAACAACAAAAAAAATTGAAAAATACATTCATCTCCATTTCATCGATAATAACCATCAAACATTCTCCCAAAAAAAACCATTTACCAAACGTTTCATGACTAAAATCGATTGATCATTTCTTTCTTTTTTTTGTCTATGTTGCCGTTTTCTTGTTTTCACATCTTTTTTTGAAATTTCAAAATGTTTTTGTTATTGAAACAAAAATATTTCATCCATCTGTCGAATCATCTATATAAATGGCCTTACAAACATTTTCACACATATTTCAAAAGCAAACGACCGACCGATTAGTAGATGTAGACCACAATGACAATTTTTTTTTCTTCAAAAGTCTCGATTTCAATTGATCCCAAGAACATAACAAATCAAATGGAATTACTATATGAATGTTGAAGTCTTTTCTTCAAAATTTATTTTGCGTGTTGTCTATCTATCGTAGTTTTTTTCCGTGGAAATTTGTTGCAATAAATTCAATTTGTATGGTGTCATCATCCAATTTGATGTGTGTGTGTGTGATTGACAACGCACAAACATTTTATCTGAACCAAAGAAAAAACAAAACATACTGTTTCACAAATTGATGTTTTCAATTTTCATTCGTTCACTGAAAATTTATCGAGCGAAAAATTTTACGTAACAAGGTTTTATGCCAATAAAATGTCCATTTATTTTCTGTCTACCTTTTCATACAAAAAAAAATATATATATTATCTACATCGAATTGAATATACGATATAATCAACATAATCTTAAGGGGAAAAATAAAAATAATACAAGACGTGAGAAATATTTTGTCACGTAATTTCAATATGATTGGTAGTTAGATGGTTAGATGCCAGAATAAAGAAGAAGAAAAAGAAAAAAAGAAAGAATGAATGAATAAAAAAGTTACAGTTTCAATTTGAATCAATTTTCTTTCATGTGTGGTTATATCCAATTCAAATAATTTGATCATAACGTATCTACAAAAAACAAAAAAACAAAAAAAAAATCCAATGATTCAATTCGTGATCCATATTCTCACTCACACTTTTTTTCTGATTCCCTATGGATCAAATTCTCTAATTCTTTAAGATTATTTCGGACCCATATTTAGCTATTTTTTTTTTATTCAAGAGGCAGATTTTTTTTTTGTTGGTTCTCAAACAAAAAAAAAAGAAGAAGAATATTCTATTTGGAAAAACAAAGTTTTTCACGACACACAACCCTATTATCAAAATTGAATGATGAATTTTCATTTTTGTTTCGTTTAATAAAAAAGAAAGAATTTGAGACGATGAAATCATTTCAATCTGGTTGCGCCTTTTGCCTGTTTTTTTTCTTCACTAAAGTTAGTTCATCAAAATAATAAATAAATAAAGAAAAAAAAAGAGAAGGGCAACTATTAAATCTAATGCTGTAATTTAATTCGATTACTGTGTTTCTTGAACGAAGAAAAAAAACCGTTTATTTATTTACATTATTTTCAAAAAGCAAATGATCCGTTCATATGGCAAATGAAAACAGGAAAAATACTTTACAAAATCTTAGTGTGTGTGTGTGTTTTTTTTAATATCCAAGTGTTATTATCTTTGGAAAATGTTTTCATTAGAAAAATTTCTATGTGATCATCAAAAAACACAAACCAAAGAAAAAAGTAGAAATGTCCATTTATATAAAGTAAAGACTAGAATAATAATATTGTTATAATTGGCTTTCGAATACGGAATCTTTTCACATTCATAGATAAGAATCAAAGGATGAGAAAAAATTTGCAGTCTGTCTGATCCATATAAATACCACATACATACACACACACACACATAATGATATTTTGTAATGTCACAAATGAAACCAAACTATTGAGTAAAGAAATCATTATTATTCAATCATTGAAAGATTATTTGTTCGGTCTTTTGATCCAATATTCATTGAAAATTACTAATTCATTAAGAACAATGAGTTCAAGTAGATTAAAGTAGATAATTCTACACACACACACATAGAATAATCATCATTATCATTGTTGTGTTATATGTTCGTTGGGTTCAGTATCAATAGAATTGAACAAAATAATGCTTGATCAAAATAAAATCTCCTTAACCTAGCAAAAAAAGTAATAATGGGTGTATTTCATTAGTTAAAACAGTAAATAAAAACTATCTATAGTTAGTTACGGTTTTTTTTCATATCCAATTGTAACATCTGGATTTTCTTTTGTTTTTCGGTCATTTATTTTTCAACAACAACAAGTTCCAAGAATCCATAAGCAGCTTACGTTATTTTTCGATCGTTTTCTTTTCTGCCATAAAGATTAGAAAAACTTGAGCATTTTTTTCTAATCCATATAAACAAACAAACAAAAAACCAATAAAATCGATATGAAATTTGATGATGATGACAATAGTGTTTTCGAACATTGTATTAATTATCGAATATTTTTGTAATTTTTGTTTCTCTTTTATTTTATGAATGATATGCAGATTGAAAAATTCTCAAGAATCAATGCTCGAAATGTTCAGATGATGATTGCCAAACTTGAATTTTTTATAGAAAATATTCAGATTTTATTGGAAAAAATCTATCAAACAACGGTAACTAATAATAATAATGAAAAATGTTACACGACTTTAATTGGTGGCAACAACAACAAAAACAAACAACAACATCGAAAACGATCAATCAAATACGATTATCATACCTATCATTATTATCATCAAGAATGGATAATGAGCAATCATTATCATCTAGGACAATCAATTGTTATCACCCATTACAATCGAAAACGACGAAGACAACAACAAATAACAAATCATATAAAATCAATCCGGCCAAATCATTTTACAACAATCAAACAACAAATATGGCAATGGTCATTATTAATGTTAATGTTATTTGTATCATTGGAAATCACAATAATCAATGTAAATGGCCAACAACAACAACAACAACAACAAGCATATCATGTTCCATTTGCCAATCTACAATCATTATCATCATTGGTGATTGGTATGCAACAACAACAACCAACATTCAACATTCATCATTATCCATCATCGTATCTGGCACCATCAGTGGCTAAAATTGGTATGTCTTGATTCATTTGTTTGAATAATAGAATTGTTCTTTTACCATGTTGATTTTAATTAACATTTAATGCCATTAATTGGATAGATTCTGTCAATATTGATCTGTTTAACGAACCTAAACATGATCTGATCTGATCTAATCAAACTTATAAACTTGACACTAATCACATGCATTATTGATTCCAATTCTAATTAATCAATCGGATTGCGAATTCAAAAAAAAAAGAAAAGAAAAAAACGAATGTGATTTAAATTGATGATGAGTACTGACCATGATAATCACTATAATATCCATTATAAATAAGGAGACATCATCACATTAGTAAAAAGAATAAGAATCAGAATTCCGGATATAGTAAGGATATCCGGTTTCTTTCTGCTTCTTTATATATTTTGTTCATTGCTGCTACTTGATAGTCGATCTTTTTTCTTTCTCTCTCTCTCTCTTTCTATCATACTCATTATATCAATGCCTGTCACTTTGGTTTGATGATGATGATGATGATGAGTATATCAAATCTTCTTGTTATTCTTGTTGACGGCATTCATCTCATTTGCAATCTCATTATCTTCATTGAATTGTTCATCATTCCATATTAGACAATATTACATTACATTTTTTTTCTTTTCTTCAATGAATAAATAAATGAATGACGACAAATCATTCTTTTCAAATATAAATATATATACTACTACTAAAGACCACAATGTTACTATTGTTGTTATTCTTACATTGTCTTTTATTCTGGTTTTCGTTGTTGTAAATGTTATTATTTGCATCATCATCATCATCATTATTATTATTATTATTTGTAGAAAAGTCGATTCATTTCATTGTCAACATCATCATCATCATCATATAAGATTCGTTTTTCGTTTGCATTAATTTGATTTGATCTTGACTTGATAGGATTTTCTAACATTCACATTTTTGTTTCTAGTTCGTGTTTGTATCATTTTCAATGTTTCTTGTCAAGATTCTTTTATTCTATATATGAGAATAGATTCAAAATGAAATGAAATTTACAAATTTACAAATGTGATACGGCCCGCAAAACAAAACAAAACAAAACAAAAAAATATCGACCATACTGCCTAAGAATGACAAAGATGATGGCCATTCTAATCATAATCATTATTGATCAATCTTTTTTCTTTTTGTCGTCGTTGCCGTCGTCGTCGTCGTCGTCGGAATAATACTAATATCATCATTATATGATATGATGAACATCGATTTTTTCAAGAATCAAACAACAATAACGACAACAACAACAAAAAAAAGGATAGCCAAACAAATAAATCAAAATCGATTTTTTTTTTCATCATCAACATCATCATCATCATTATCCGTCGATGTATGGTATGGTGGTAAACAAACGATAGCGACAAGGAATCCATTCAAAATTGGGGAAACAAATTCGAATAAATCGTTTATCGCCGTTATTATTATTATTATATCTGCTTGTTCAAAATCAAAATGATTATGATCATGATGATGATGATGGAGTATATTTTGATTTGCCATTCATAAAATATATGATCATTTGGCCTTTAGTTGTTGTCCAAAATGAAAATGATAATAATAATAATAATAATAATGTTGTCGTTGTTGTTGTAAACAAGATGCAAAAACATACATACATACACACCCCATATACACTTAGGAATTGTAAATGTTGGTTGTTTTGTTTTTTGTTTTTTGTTTTTGATGATTTTATTGTGATCAATATCAAATGAATAATGGATTATAATCGAAACATCATGATAATGTGAACATAAAGATATATAGATTTTTTTTCTTTTGTGGAGTAATATTTTTTCAATCGCTATAATCATCATCATTAGTGGGCCCTTTTAATTTCATTCAATGTTTTTTTTTCCAATGTCTTTTATGAAATTTTTTTTTGGAAATGTTTTTTTTCTAAATTATATCAAGCACTAACTAAAAGAAAAAAATTCTGAATCAAAATCGAAAACACTAATTCATAACCGGATGATGTGTGTGTGTGTGTTGGTGGTTGTTGTTCGGTCTAATCGATAAATCAATAAAAACAAAAGAAAACATAGAAAAAATATATCTTTGCTTGGATGTTTTTTTTCTCTCCATCCATTCGGATTTCCTTTCCAAACGATTTTTTTTTTTTTGGTTTCGGTTTTTTTGGGTCACATTTTTTTCTTTTTCTTCTTTTTTTAATATCGGCTGTGTTTTTTCATTTTCGATTCTGATTCTGTTGTTGTTGTTGTTGTTGTTATTTGCCATATCCACCATCACCACTAAATCATTTGAATCATACAAAAGAAAAGACCGAAATGGATTGGCTTGGTTGACCATCGTATGAAAGAATCCTTTTGTTTTTCACTCATTCACTATAGCAGTAGTTATACTTTTATTTCTCTTTTTTTTCCATCACGCAGAGAACATGGTTATTGTCGTTATGAGAATCAAACCAAAATTTTCATATAACTCTTTGACTTGCTATTATTATTATTATTATCATTCAATAAATAATAATAATATTATTAAAAAAAAAATATCCAAATTCTGTCAATGTCGAACCAATGATAATGATTCTCACTGGGAGAAGAATTGTTTTTGCTCAGTCAGTCTGCTACTGATGCTGACGATGATGATGATGATGATGAGGAAATGAATATGAATTGCTTTTGTCATTATCATTAAATCATCACTTTTTTTCGGCTGTCATCTTTTTGTTGTTGTTGTTGTTGTTGTTCAAACATTTTCGCTTCAATTCAGAATCAAATATGGAACCAAATAAACAGAAAAAGAAAAAAAAACACCCCATCATCATCATCATCATCACATATTTTTTGTCACATCAAAGATACTTTCAACATTCATGATACAGTAGTAATAGAAAGTGATCATTTCAGGGAAAAATGATAAAAACAAATGTCTCATTAATATATGACATGCCATCAACAACAACAACAACAACAATCATGCTAATTGTTGTTGTTGTTGTTCTTGATGTCAAACAACAACAAAAAATCAATTTTTTCAATTTCCTTGATTCTGTACAAAATCAAAATAACAAGAAAACAAAATAAATTATCCACTAATCGATGTCTCATTTTTTTGTTTCATTCTTGTTGTTGTTGTTGTTGGATTTCTTTGCAATTAATTTCATCAGTCTCTAGAAAGAAAAAACATAAAACGATTATAAAACAGATGAATGATTAGGATTGAATTGAGAATGGCTTTTGCAATCTTCTTTTCATGAATTGTCGATCCATTTTTCTTCATCATCACTTGAATCCATTATCAATCGTTTTGGGCTTTCTTTCTTTCTTTCTTTTCATCGTCGTTGATGCTGCCATTATTATGATAAGTAATGGATTAAATCGATCGTTTTTTTCTTTTTTTGATTCTTGCCATTATAGTGATGATAATGATTGTAGACACACATTATCATCAATTTTGTTTCCGAATTTAGATATTTCTTTTTAATGCATGTGTGGACATCTATCGGTCGTTTTTTGAAATCATTTTATTTTTATTTTTATTCCTGCCGTTTCCTCACATTTTACAACGGCTCATACAGGTGCTATATTTCATCATCAAGAAAATTTCGAACATTTATCATCTTCATCCTCATCATCACCATTATCAGCTTCATCATTACAATCGAGCATAATTTCATCATCATCACCATCAAACATCGGAAGCAAAACATCGAGCTCCAACTTAATACAACAACAATCATCATCCGCAAGTGCCGCAACAAATGCAATATTTCAATCACAATCATCAATAGCAACGAATAACAATCGACCAAGTCCATCAATATTGGGCAGTAATAATGATAATGACGAATTCGAAGCAGAAATCGCATTTCGTTATGCTGTCAAACGTATCAATAAAGATCGTAACATTCTACCGAACACAACATTGATTTATGATATCGAGGTTTGTGTAACAAGAGTTTTGTTAGCTTTGTGGAAAGATAATTAAACCATATTTTTTTCATATAATCAGTATATATCACGTGATGATAGTTTTCATGCCGCCAAAAAAGCCTGTAAACTAATTCGTGATGGTGCTGTGGCAATATTCGGACCATCCGATGATCGTATCGGAGTACATGTACAATCCGTTTGTGATACATTAGATATTCCGCATCTGGAAACGCGTAAACATAATCTTAATATTGGGAAAGAATTTTCTATTAATCTACATCCAGGAGCGTTTGCCGTTGCTCAATCAATACGCGTATTAATCACATTTCTAAATTGGACACGAATCGCTGTCATTTATGAGGATGATATTAGTAAGTTTGAAAATAAATTCGATTTGAAATTTATGAGATTTGTTTTTCAGATTTGATCGGCCTACAAGAGCTAACAACATTACCATTGGCAAAAAATGTCCAGTTCTTTTTTCGTAAAACACAACAGGATTCATTTCGTGAAACATTAATGGATCTTCGTGATCGAGAAATCTATACGATGGTTGTCGATATACCACATGAACATTTACCGAGCTTTTTCACCGCCATCTTACAAATCCAGATGAATGAAAATCGTTATCATTATCATTTCACAACATTTGTGAGTGCGCCTTTATTCTTGTACTGATTATTATTAGTTTTATCTTTTGTCAAATAGGATTTAGAAATATTTGATCTTGAAGATTTTATGTATAATGAAGTGAATATCACTGCTTATCGAATTGTTGATTATTCGAATCCTATGATACGATCAATGCTAAAAGAAATGAGTAAATATTATCCAGATATTGCCAGACAATTATTACATCAAAATCATTTGATTAAGGTAAACACTTTTCATTCATCATTATCATTATCGATTTATTCCGCCATTTTTTCTCAGGCTTCTTCAGCAATGATGTTCGATTCGGTGTACGCATTTGCGCGTGGTTTGAATCAATTTTTTAAATCTGTCCATAATCTAGCCGAATTACATTCATCTTCAGCAACAGCTACATTGACCAATCAACGACAATCATCATCATCATCATCATCAATTACAATGCTCAATAGTTTTGCATCATGCTCAAATGAGACGGCCTGGAATAATGGTCTTACATTATACAATTATATTGATTCGGTATGATTGATTTGTTTTGTTGATAATATTAAAAAAATATGAATAATTCATTGTTTATTTTCAAACAAAAACAGTTATCATTTCACGGCATGACCGGTCCGGTTATGTTCAAAGAAGGCATTCGACATAATATGCGAATGGAATTATTAAAATTACGTAATTTTCGTTTAGAAAAAGTTGGTGAATTCTTTTACAGTACTTCACTATTAAACATAACAAATATGGATGCATTTTTAACATCAAAACAACGTAACGTAACATTACGTGTGACAACAGTTATGGTGAGTATTAAAACGAATGAATGTGCAAATGCGTCATATTCTCTAATTTGCATCATTATCTAATCAACTTAGATGGAACCATACATTCGTCAAATGCGTTCCAGTAATAAATCATTTGAATTGAAACTATTACAAGCTGAAAAAATACGATACGAAGGTTATTGCATTGATTTATTGAATGCAATTTCCAAAAATCTAGGTTTCACATATGAATTGTATGAAGTTGAAGATGGTCGATTCGGTGCACTAGATGAGCAAACTGGTGAATGGCATGGTCTTGTACGTGAATTGATTGATAAAGTAAGTATATCAATCGATTAATCGATGAATAAACAATTACCTATCAATATTATATCTATGAAATAGCGAGCTGATCTAGCAATTGGTCCATTGACCATAAGTTATGCACGTGAAAATGTTATCGATTTTACCAAACCATACATGAATCTAGGTATCGGAATCCTATTCAAAATGCCCACACATGCCCCTACACGTTTGTTTTCATTCATGTCACCATTGGCTGTTGATATTTGGCTATATGTTGTCGCCGCATATGTTTTGGTCAGTTCTACATTATTCATTGTGGCCAGATTTAGTCCATACGAATGGATCAATCCGCATCCGTGCATACCGGATTCAGAATCAATCAAAATCAATCAATTCAATTTGGCCGATTCATTCTGGTTTACGGTGGTAACGTTGATGAAACAAGGATGTGATATGAATCCGAAATCAATGTCGACAAGAATAATCGGTGCAATATGGTGGTTTTTTACATTGATTCTCATCAGTTCATACACCGCCAATCTAGCTGCATTCTTAACGGTCGAACGTATTACCACACCGATAGAAAGTGTCGAAGATTTAGCTCATCAATCGAAAATTCGTTATGGTACTCTACGTAACAGCAGTACAATGAGTTTTTTTCGAGATTCGAAATTCCCAATCTATCAGAAAATGTGGCAATTTATGGAAAAACATCCTGAAAATTTTGCCGCCAGCTATGAAGAAGGCCGTAAACGTGTGTTGATGGGTGATTATGCTTTTCTGATGGAATCAACAATGATCGATTATATGGTTCAACGAGATTGTAATCTAGTACAAATTGGTGGCCTACTTGATTCCAAAGGCTATGGTATTGCCACACAAATGGGTCCGTATCACTGCCATTCATATTTACTTATCAATCTATAATGTTTTGTTTCTGTCACTAGGATCCGAATGGAAGGATAAAATTTCATTGTCAATTCTTGGTCTGCAGGAAAACGGTGAACTACAAATGATATACGATAAGTGGTGGAAAAGTCCTGGCCTCACCTGTACAGATGAACTAAAAAACAAAGATGGAAAAGCCAATCCATTAGGTCTAGGTAATATTGGTGGTGTATTCGTTGTTTTATTGCTTGGACTAGTAGCAGCAATGATCTCTGCCATGCTAGAATTCATGACACAACGATCTAAACAAAGAACAGCACTTGCATCAATAATGTTGGATCAACATTATCATCATCAACATCAACAACGAAACAAACAAAATCGAAATGATCCTAATCAAAGTGATGATGCAAACATTCTGAATAATAGCGATTCATCGCAAACACATATTTATTGAATATATCAATGATTAAATCAAAATCAAATCAAATTGTTTACTACTTTTGTTGCAAATTTTATTTCCGATCATATGATGGCGCCATCATTTGATAAAATCGAAAATTAATCTTATTTTAAAATTGTAATTAAAGTGGGTGTCAATGAATGTTTGATTGTAAGCATGCAGGTGTCATTCATCAATGAATGAAATGGAAAATCTGATTTCAATCAAATCAAGCGGTTTTGATAGCTAAGCTTTTGGTAAAACTGTTTTCATTTGTTATTTGGTGTTTCTAGCATCGAGAGATCGTAATCATTTCTTTTGAATCCTAAATCCTAAATCTTTGTTTGATCAAAAATGAATTTCTTGCTTTTACTATGGTTATATCCTGTGTTTGCAATCAAAGATGATTCCGATTATTCAAGTTGGTATTTGTTTCTATTTTATGGAATTTTGATTTAAATCTTTAAATAATACAAACATACAAACACACAGTGGTTTCAGCAATTCGTAAAAAAATCTTTGATGGTTATGATCCGATGGCTCGTCCAGTAATCAATCACACACATCCGATCAATGTAGGAATGATAATGCGTTTATTACATTTTGGCCTTGATTCGCGACAAAACTTATTCGATTTCCTTAGCTATTTTCGTATCGAATGGTGATAATTTTTTGTTTCGACATGATTTCGATATTTCCAATCAAAAAATTTTTTTTGTTCAATGTACAGGTCAGATCGTTATCTTCAATGGAATGCAAGTGAATATCGTGGTGTGAAACGAATCAACGTTCGTATGGATGATGTATTCACACCGGATCTTATATTATATGATTCAATACAACCAACAAATATGATGAAAAAATTTAATAATGCCGAATTGATTATCACAAATGATGGAACCGTACATTGGTCACCATTATTGCGAATGCAATCAATTTGTCGACTAAATATTCAGGATTGGCCTTATGATCAACAAAAGTGTTCGCTTATATTTATTTCATGGTCATATCCTATCGATGCATTGGCTCTTTATATTTCAAGTGAGTATTCTATTAGTACGACAATCATTTTCGTATCCATTTCATTCTCCGTAAAGCTAAATCGATAAATGTTCGTGATCTATGGCCAAACAATGAATGGGAGGTAATAGGCACATCATGTGATACATTAATCGTAAGCGATATTCCAGGCCGTCCAGATTTATTTTTTCCCGGTGTCAAATATACAATATCTGTTCGACGACGTTCAACACCATATCCATATCTAATCGATGCACCAATCATATGTACAACCATTATAAATATTATATCGATATGGTTGATTGATCCGTTCGATCCGAAAAGAATCCGATTTCAATTAAATCGGCTAAGTTTTTTCATCATATTAATCACTTCATTCTATCCATCCTACATATTGGGTCTAGGAATGTTTGGCACCACTCGATTAGGTTTGTATAGGTGTATAATTCATATAAATCGGATTGAAATTGTCATTGAAAAAAAAATAGTAAAATTTCTTGGTTCAATGATGGTTAGTTCGGCTGTTTTAATGTTATGGTCAGCATTATCAATGAATATTATTCAATCGACAAAACCGAATCCAATAACCGAACAAATATGGCGTAATATGACTCAACGTGCTTTAAATTGGCGATTAATTCGATTCAATCATTATAATATTCATGCTAATGATGCTAATGATGATGACGATAATGGTGGGGATCGACAATCATCAATCAATGAACAACGTCGACGAAATTATCTCTTTGTCATCCTAATAGATCGTGTATTGTTGATTATATTTCTTATCATATTCTTTATGTTTTATAAATTTTAAATACAAAAATAAGACTGAATAATAAAAAGGAAAATTATTTCGTGAGAATCACGTCCAATAATGACAATATGGCAAATAATTTTTCATTCAAAAAGCAATTTAGTTATTTTTATGATCTGAATTCATTCGAGATAGAAAAGAAAAAGTCAATCATCATCATCATCACATCATCGCATACGCCTATGCACACACACACAAACTTTTTCGTAAACACACATTGTGAAGCTATAGTTTTATCAGTATATCCTATGCGAATAAAACGATCAATATATTTTGCCAAAATATGAATTGTATGCATGATGGTCAGAATGACAAACTAAACCGAAATTTGGCTATATAATATTATGGGGTATCCATTATTAGTAAAACGATAATTTCATCCAGACCGTACAAACATTATTACACAGAATACCGAATTACAAAATTACAGTCCATCTACCCGTTTTTTTTACGGATGATTCCTCTGAATACAGACCAAAACCATTTCATATCTATGATTTTGCATTGAAAACATTCAAATCAAGAATTCTATAGAATTATGAGTTGCTGTTCCAATGCACGCAAGCGTAATTCGAATGAACGTCATTGAAAATTATGAATTTTGAGTCGACTCATCATCGATCATTCGCGGATAAATCATTTTATGTATCTCACTACTATTATCTTTTTAATATCAGAACATTTAGTATTTCTCCTTGGAAATATCTCAAATTTTTATGAAACGATCAACATTACCACTGCTATTACTTACTAATATATATAGAACAATTATATGGATACCCTCCATTCATGTTCTCTGGAACTACAAAAAAATCTAAATAAAATAAAAAGAGAATGCTTCCTCTGTCCTCTGGAGATTAGCACTTGCGCAATTTCTGATTTTTCGAGTTCCAGAAAAAAAACAAGTCAAACGAATTTTTGTGTATTTATGTTGTGTGTATTACATTCAGGTACAAGTTATATATTCTTTCTTTCTTTCTTTTTTGGCATTCGTTTGTTATTCGCTAACCGTTCGTTTGTCCGTCCAAGGTTTTCAGCTCATCAGTTGTTTCGAGATTTTTTCTTTGATTATCGAATTTTTCGCTCGCTCTCTCTCTCTCTCTCTCTCTCTCTTTCTCTTCATTCCATCTCAATCAGTTTGATTAAACTTAAAAAAATTTGGGAATTTTTTTTTCAACATCCGTGCCTATCACAGTTATAAGATCAGAAAAATTCGCTAAAAGAAAATTGTTGTTGTTGTTTTCGAGATTAAAATCAATTCATCCTGGTTACTTATGTGAAAATTTTTCTCGATATGAAAAAAAAATCAAGATGAATATCGACGAATTTTTGTTATAAAATGAAAAATGAAAAATTCATAATTTCATATTAAACATCATTTCATTTTTTAGTTTTTCATCATCAAATTAAAATTGTTTGACTGTCTGTATATGTGAGATTAATTGAAAGATCAACATTCGATTTCGTTCTATCTATTATGCGATTGTATTACACAAGAAAAACATCAACAACAACAATAATCTGTATTTCATGTTTGCGTGTTATTGCCAATTTAACAGTTACGAAAAAATTTTTTCTGTCTGTCTGTCTACGTGGGTGTAATTCAATCGATCAATAATCAATAATCCTTCTCATTATTTTTATTTGAAGATAATTAGCATTGGTGATTGATCACCAAATCAAATTTAATCTTCTATTTGATTATATTCAAAATTGTTTTTTTTTCTGGTAATTATCAATCAACTTTTGGGCGTTTTCCACTTTCATATTTTTTGTTATCTTTGTTTTCTGTGATTAGTTTATTGACAAATTTGTTAGGGAAAAAAACATCTATTCAAATATGGAAGCTCAAATGCAGCAACAACCGGGAGCAGCTTCCGGTGGAATGATAATACCACCATATAATACACGTGTGATCAAAGAACCACGTGGTATGATTCGTATTATTCAATTGGTAAGTGTTTTGCTAAGTTTGAATTTGAAAAATTTTTCTTAAACAATAACAAAAATTTCAATAGGTATTTGCCATATTAGCATTCAGTATAACCACATCATTTGATACGGAAACATCATTCACCATATCCTGTTATCAGAGTAAAGATGCCTCGAATCAGGTTCGGTATCAGAAAAAATCAACGTATCAGGTAGAATATCCATTCGACATGAGTTCGACGAAGCTAACATATTTGGAATCCTGTAATGAAAACGGTGATGAAATGAAAGATAAAGTATTCGATATTGATTTTTCATCATCGGCACAATTTTTCGTTGCCACTGGTGTTCTTTCATTTGCATATACACTATGTTGTCTATATGGTTATATTAAATTATGGCATCTTTATGAAACAAATCCATTCTTTCCAATAGTCGATTTGGTTATAACCGCCATATTTACCGTATTCTGGCTGGCCGGTGCATCAGCATGGGCTGCAAATGTATCCGATCTTAAACATTATACTGGACCACGCTATCTCATCGAACAATTAAGCCATTGTAATCAGACTATACAGGATATCGAATATGATTGCTTCTCCGAATCACCGGGCAAATGGTCTTCATTATATATTTCTTTGGTATGTTCATTTTCATTACCATTACCATCATATTTATTTTATTCTTCAAAAATGTAGATATTCGGTTTCGCCAATCTATTCATATGGGGTGCATCCATTTGGTTTGTTTTCAAAGAAACTCATTTCCATCAACGTACTTTGCAGCCAGTTATGATGGGGGGTGCTACCGCTCCTGGTATGCCACCAATGATGAATACTGCTACTGGTGGTGGTGGTGGTATGATGGGTCAACCAATCGGAACAAACCAACAACAAGCCTATCCAAATCTTGGTGATCAAACACAAACAATTGGACAAATGCCTACAGGCAATCAATTTGGCCCAGGTGGATATTAATGTTTAACATACAAGATATAATTCATCACAACAATTTTGTCAATATCGAAAAATAATGAACGCCAATCATTGTTCGATTGAACAGAAAATAATTATTCCGAATGAACAAAAAATGCATTTCCTACTTTTAGCATCTGATTTTTTTCCCATCAATCCGGATTATATTCATTGATTGATTGATAATCGACGTGTGTTTATTACTTCAAAAATGTTCATAGCAAATTATACGTGTTTTTCAAGAAATTTTATTCAACGTGAATTTCGAGCAATACCAAATTTTCCAAAATCTAGCCTAACCCATTTTGTTGATTACACCATTGTGAAAACATCATTGTGTTCACATTACAATTTCCTTGACCATAAAAATCCAAATCACACAAGCCTCTCAACATTACCAATACATTATCATTCTTTTTATATACAGTAAACCAACAGGAAATGTTTGTTGATTTTGATCATATCGTTTTGTTTAATAGACATTAATACACGTGCACAAAAAATAAAACATATTTTTAGATGTTTTGATCATTTTGAATTAAGCTATATTATTCATTCAAAAAAAAGGAATAGAAAAGAATTATAGTTATACAATTTTGAGTGTAATAATTATTTATTATGATTTTGAAACATTTAAGACAAAACAAAAATAATTGTTTTTTTCAAAATCAAATATCCAAAATCGAAACTGAGCCAAATCATCGTCCTTTCATGGAATTACTTTTGACCAAAGAAACCAATGTCGAACCAGTTAATTCAGCGTTTGAAACAAAAACCATTTCCCTATAATGGAAAATATCATTAGTTATTTTTGATAATTAATTTAATTTGTCTATGAAAAAAAACGATTCATAAATTGAACATCAATTGGCTCTACGTAGTTAATTAATTGATTAGTTGATTTTGTCATTTCAACAAAATACATTCATCACATTTTATCTTCATAATAAATATCAGTTAGATAAGACGATCTGAATTTCATTGATGATCATTTGTTATAATAGTAGATTGATTTCATGATAGTTTGTCGGACAATTCGATCACAAATGATTTTCACACACAAGTTCAAGCGGGTAATAAAAAAAAATTCAAACTAATTTATTTAATATTTTTTCAGAAAATAATAAATTGCAAATTTTGGATTGATAGTGAATAAAACATTCAACAAATAATTGCTTATATATGTACACACAGACAAAAGAACTACAGAGAATAGAGAGAAATTAATTAATTATCAATTTTTCAATGAGTTTCGATGAATAATAATAAAATTATTAATGTGTGTATTATAATGTGTATTGTCAATTCTTGAATTATTTAGATTTGAATTCGACAAAATTTCTTCTTTTTTTTTAAATTGTAAATATCAATTGCGTTGCAAAATAGATTTTTTTTTCTTCATTTGATCATCTTCATCAAAATCAATTGCTGTTGTTTCTTTCTTTTTTTTGTTTCTTAACCCCTTTTTCGCATCTAATTATTATTATGACATATAATGAATTCATCACTTTTTTCAATCCATTCGAATCCAGTTACAAAAAGACATACACACACACACACATATACATTTCAAATGATTGATCAATTCAAATCTAAATGATTGTATTTGTCAGAAAATAAAATTTAAATAAATTTTTTGCCTTTCTTCCGGTGTGTGTATGTTTTTCTTTTTGTTTGCTTGACTACGTTTCCTTTAAGCATGCAAAAATATTTGCTCAATTTGTTTCAAATTTCAATATTGGTTTGAATAAATGCGCAAGCGTAATTGATTTATTTTTTTTCAAATATGTATTCGAAATATGTAAACCGTTCATTTACTTATTTATTTATTCAATGATTGTAATTCAACGGATAAACATCATCAATGCAAACAAAACCAAACCAATATAACTATAGTTTAACTTAGTTGCATAATCATAGTATTAGTCATGTTGTCAGCATATCGAACTCGTGAATTTCATCTAATCGATCCAGATGATCAGCTACAACGTGAATATCTATTAGGAGAATTGCGTAAAATAAATAGAAATACTGAATTTACAATCGATTGTTTGATCTGTTCCCGTATGATTAATTTGGATGAAATATTTAACCATCTAATGAATCATTTGAATCAAAAATATCAAATTGAAAAGCAACGATTACAATGCTGTCATTGCTTGCAAATTTTTTCCAATCGTTATCAACTTGAATTACATCATCAATCGGTAAGTGTTTGTTTGTTTGTTTGTTTGACCAAATGGATTCATTGATTTGTTGACAAGATTCAAACTAAAACAATGCCTAATACAAATTTTCCACAAAATATGGACAAATGTCTTCGAGAATATGATCCGAATCTTTCTTTGCAACGAAATTCTGAAAACATTCGTAAACAATTACAGCTACCATATCGTTGTACGAAATGTCGATTTCGATCCACATCGCATCAACAATTGATTGAACATTTTGAGCTGGTAAACCAACAACTTTTCCGCAATGAATAATTGTTTTATTTTTCTTTCTACGATTTAATCTCTTTCATTGTCTAGATTCATGAGATTCTTGTCTGTCCATTTTGTTTCCATCCGTTTGATCTATATCGATGGAGTAGCCTTTGTTTCGATGATGATTGTGATCATATTGAACCACTTCGAAAAGAATTGAAAAACGTTCTTAGACATTTTAAAAAACATTTGAATGTAGATCAAGATTTGGTTAGCTGTAAACAATGTATGCAATCATTTTTAAATCAAAATCAGCTTGAAAATCATTTATTAGAAGATCATAAGCCTTATAAATTCAAATCAAAAGGTATGCAAAACTTTTTATTTGTTCAATGAAAAATCTTTTCTAATTTTTAATAACATAGATCTAAACAATTTACGATTCTTTGATCAAGATAAGATGAGCGATACAACTATTAATGATGCTTTGGATTTTATTCGTGAAAATTATCGTAAAAATTATTGTATGCTTTACGGGGATAATTGTTTGGATGCCCTCGAAAAATGTTCAATCATTTAAGATCAAATTTCAAAACAAAATATCAACTTATTTGACATTGAGTTTTTCTCAACAAAAAACTTTTTTCAAATTTTAAAATAAATTTAAGAAATTAAAAATTTTTATTTTATTTTTTTGAAAGTGAGCTGTGAAGATTTTTTTTATTTCTATGCAAAAAAACTATTTAAGCAAAATCAAAGGAAAGGAAAAATTGATTGTCATTGTTGTTTTTTATCGATTCAAATCAAAAATGCCAGAAATAATTAATCTACAAGCCGGTCAATGTGGTAATCAGATTGGAATGAAGGTAATTATTTAACTTTTGTCGACAAAAACATCGAATAGATTATCTTATTGTTTTTAGTTCTGGGAAGAGATTGCCAATGAACATGGTATTCAAGCAGATGGTAGCTACAATGGTGATCATCATTCACAATTGGATCGTATAAATGTTTATTTTGATGAAGCCTCAACTGGTAAATATGTACCACGTTCGATTATGGTGGATTTAGAGCCCGGTACTATTGATGCTGTACGTGCAAGTTGTGTGGGTCAATTATTTCGACCGGATAATTTTATATTCGGCAATACTGGTGCAGGCAATAATTGGGCTAAAGGACATTATACTGAAGGAGCCGAACTGGTCGACTCAGTCATGGAAATCATAAGAAAAGAAACAGAAAAATGTGATTGTATACAAGGATTTCAATTATCACATTCATTGGGTGGTGGCACTGGTTCCGGTATGGGTACATTGATAATGTCTCGTATCCGTGAAGAATTTCCTGACCGAATATTAACATCATTCAGTGTACTGCCATCGACCAAAGTTTCGGACACTATTGTCGAGCCATATAATGCTATATTATCGATTCATGAATTAATTGAAAACACAGAAGAAACATTTTGTATCGATAATGAAGCTCTTTATGATATTTGTAATCGTTCATTGCGAATGAAAACACCGACTTACAGTGATCTCAATCATCTTGTATCGATGACAATGTCTGGTGTGACTACTTGTCTTCGTTATCCAGGTCAATTAAATGCTGATCTTCGAAAATTGGCTGTAAATATGGTGCCGTTTCCTCGATTACATTTTTTTATGCCTGGCATCGCACCACTTACATCACGTAATTCGCAATCTTTTCAAGCTCTTAGTGTACCAGAATTGACAAAACAATTATTTGATCCGAAAAATTTGATGGCTGCATGTGATCCACGACATGGCCGATATTTAACAGTGGCAGCCATATTTCGTGGCCTTATATCAATGAAAGAAGTAGATGAACAAATAATGAATATACAGAATACAAATAGTTCAAACTTTATCGAATGGATACCGAACAATATCAAAACGGCCGTATGTGATATACCACCACGTGGTCTAACAATGGCTGCAACATTTTTAGGAAATTCGACTGCAATAAAAGAATTGTTCAGTCGTATTGCTGAACAATATCAATGTAAGTATATTATCAAAAGTGTTTGAAACGATTCATTTTTTTTCATCACATTTTAGCCATGTTTCGTCGAAAAGCATTTCTACATTGGTATACAGGTGAAGGTATGGATATGATGCAATTCGATGAATCCAATTCCAATGTTAATGACTTAATCAACGAATATCAACAATATCAAGAATTAACTAATAATGATGATTTCGAAGAAGAGTGTGATGTTCAAATCATTCATGATTGATATCGATTGATTATTTATATTTAAAGTAATTTATTAATTATTTTTTTAAAAAATGTTTTAAAAAATCAAATCTTTAAGAAAAAAAATGTATACAAATGAAATCGAATTGAAAAAATCAACTGATTTGATATGAAAATCATTGAGAATAAAGTACAAAAAAAAATCAATAAGCAAATGAAATTTTAATTTGTTTCAAATAAACACAGCCTGTTGTGTTGATGATGGCTGAAATCTTGGCTGATGATGATGATGATAAATTGATGACGATGCTGAGTTATTATTGGTAGATGTAGGAGTTGCAGCCATAGCTGAGGTATTCGCACCGGTTTGAGATTGTTGTTGCTGTTGCTGCTGTTGTTGTTGACGTCCGGTCGTAGTATTTGTCGATGATTGATTATTATTACCATTATTATTACCATTCAGCGAATGATATGGTGTAGCATTTGTCGGTGATAACATTACCATACCCATCGAAATCATTTGTCCAATATTGCCATTGGCTGTTGTTGATAATGCCGTTTGTCCAGGTTGTGGTCCATTAGTATTTAATAATAAAAGATTACTACTGCTATTATTATTTGGAGGTTGTTGGATATTCGAATCGGTTCCATTTATAACAGTATTTGCTGTGGATGATGATCCAGATGATGATGTTGATGAAGCGGATGATGATGATATAATTGTTGTTGTACCGCCTAACGATGATGATGTCCAATCATTCATCGCTGATAATGGTGATGATGTTGACAATGATGCCCATGAATCTGGCGATGGCGTTGGATATGAATCTAATGGTCGTGGTTGTTGTTGTTGTTGCTGAGATTGCTGTTGTTGTTGATTCTGTTGAATCAAAGTTGTTGTCTGTTGAGATGGTTGATGTATACGCAATACGGTTTGGTTATTTTGATATGCCATCATTGATGTATTGGATGTTGGTGATGATAATAATGATGTCGGTGCTATTGTCGCTGTTGGTGTTGGTGGTTGTTGACCATTATTAACACCTTGTTGTAATTGTTGATGTAATAGCTGTTGACGTGGTGCAACCGCTATCGGCTGTTGATGTGAATGATGATTATGATGATGGTTATGTTGTTGTTGTTGATTATATTGATGATGATGATGATTAGCCGATGATGTTGATAATTGTTTGAGATGAAAACATTCATCATATGCAGGCGGTGGTCGTGATCCAGTCATATTAGCAGTGTTGGATGGATCATTATTTGGTGTTTGACCATTAACTAATGGCGGTGATATCATTGCTGATGATTGAACAGCCATCAATTGTGTAATACTATTATAATCTGCATGATTTGTATTGGTCACTTGTGATGAATGATGAGTATGATGTCCATAATATGATGATGATGATGTTGGTGATGTTAGATTGGTCATTGCTGTTGCTGTACTCATATTACTGATTTGATGTTGATGATGACCAATAAAACCAGTCATCATTGAATCATGATCAGTATTAATTGTAGAGGTCTGAGGTTGTTGTTGAGATCCATTCAATGAAAATGATGCCTGATGTTGATGATGATGTGAGGGATTTGTTGAGCTTGAATAGGATTGCTGTTGTTGTTGGTGATGAGAATAATCATTTGATGAATGATTGGTTGTAGATGATGTCAACATTTCATAATTGCTACCCGTTAATTGATTAGTACCAGTTGGCGTTGTTGATGATGATGGTGCACCCGAACCAAGCAAAAGAATTGGTTGCTGTGATGGATGTAATCCATTATAAAGTGCAACACAATTACGAGGAGGTGGTGGCGGAGGTGGAACATTTGATTGATTTCCATTGGATGAAGAATCATTTTTGTTGTTGTTCGATGAAGATTTTGTTCCTTTCAATGTGCCAGTCGGACTTAGTATTGATGATGTGTTGTTGATACCACCATGGGGAAGATTAAGATTTGATTGATGATGTTGTTGTTGTTGTTGTTGTTGGGAACCACTTGCCATATGATGCTGTTTATTACGTCTAGGTGCTGTATTTCTACCTAACGTACCCCATTGAGCGGGTATTGGCGATGTTACAAGCATACGATTCGGATTCGGTGAGGTTATACCGCCACCATTACCATTGCTGTTACTATTATTAATCGCTTGAATCGGTGGCGGCAATGCTGATGGTTCATGTTTATCCAGCAATTCAACAATATCGGTATGCATTCTAGCCATAGCAACATCTCGTGGTAATTGATCCATATTATCGGTTATATCACGATTAGCATGATAATCCAATAATAATTTCGCACATTGATATGCACCTTCACGTGCGGCTAAAAATAATGGTGTTTCTTCACGAATATTTCGGGCATCACGATCAGAGCCATGTTGTAGTAGAACACGTACAGCTTCAACATTATTTACTGATGCAGCCCAATGTAACGCTGTTTTTCCCGAATCATCGGCAATATTCAGTTCACAATTATGTAACACTAATTGTTCTAACATTCCTTCATTTGCCATACGTGCAGCAAGAATCAATGGTGTCGTTCCATCGCTGGTACGGGCATTTAAATCGACTGTTCGATTACGTAAAAGAATTTCGAATACACCACGTGCATCAGCAGCAATAGCCGAATGTAAAGGCGTCCGACCAGTAGCATCCTGTGCATTACAATCTGCACCAGCTTCAATCAAACGTTTTGCCGCATCAGCTCGAGCATAACGGGCAGCTAAGTGTAAACATGTTTCATGCGTTTTCTCACATGTTAATGAAACATTCGCTCCATTCATTAATAGATCATGTACGGCATTATTACTATCACATAACATATCCGGATTATCTACGTTCATTAGATTCATTGGAAATGCCGATGCAACCATCAATGGTGTCATTCCATTCGGACCAATTGAATCAATTGATGGTGTTGGTAATGGTGGTGTCATCGAATCATGTGGTTGAAATGCTTCATAATGTGCCGATGACCATGAACGACATTCAGATGGCTCTTCATAGATGACCGCTGCACATTGACTTTTCTCATCTACCATCATATCATCACGAGGAGATTTGAATTGTCTCATTTCTTGTCCATCTGGACAGCCCGATCGTATTGAATTCGAATGTGAAAGAAGATTTGATTCTCGTCGACCGCGTGATCGTGAAAAATCTCCACAAGAAGCGGCAGCTGTAGCATTTGCATTTGAATGATGACGACCACTTCGAGAGATGGGCATTTGATTGGTGAAAAATCCTTCTGGAAACCATGTAATACCACGGGCAACTTTTTTCCGATTATTTGATACTAATGCACCGAGTAATATACCAATACAAAGCAATAACAATAACGATATGACAATGAATGTTAGATTCTGTGCATCTTTAGCATTATCCATTGGTGAACGATCACGAACATCATCATTAGCATCGAAATGTGCCTGAATTCCAGATTCTCGTAGAAATGCTTTCACTGGTGATTCTGGTTTATTTTGTGATTCTTGTAAAAATGATGCAACATCTTGACTATTATCAAAACATTGACCAGTTTGGCGACATTTTCGATTATCGATACCCATTATAAGTTTAATGTTGTGAAAATTATTTTCCTGTATATCACGTATTCGTAGCACTGAACGAATCAATATAGACAAATTTCGAATAAAATGTTTCACTGGCATTGGAATTTTAGAAACGTTTGAACCGTTCATTTGGCTATATGGAAAATCTGTATCGATGATAAGCTCACCACGAAGATAATCAGTTGATGATGGATCTGTTTCACAATCAAGTCCATCCCAGGCACATTCGGCAATGTCACAGCCATGATCGCAATGTCCATTTGCAAAATTATCTTCACAATATGGATTATAATCACGATTACAGACCAGTTGAGGATTGTTGCCAGTTTGTTGGTGATTACCATTACCGAAACTTGATGATACATCCGATGTATCCGATAATGATCGACAATCAAAACCATCGAATAAACAATCACGATTATTACATTCTTCATTGCAGATTTTATCGGAAAAATGTTCATAACAGAAATCAGATTTCGGACAACGTTGCCATGCTTGACGGCGTTTTTGATCCATCAGGGAATTTTTGATATTATCCACTTCACAATAGATGCCTGAATATTGAGGACGACATTGACAACGGAATGGAGATGTCCATCCATATTGACCGAATGGTGATTGATGATCGATACAGGTACCACCATTTTGACAATAAACTTGCGAACATGGATTTAATGATGTTTCACAACGATAACCAGTGTAACCGGGCTTACAACGACAATGAAATTTATTCACATCATCTTCACACAGGCCATCATTCAAGCATGGGTTGGGATCACATTCATTAATATGTGACAAACATCGTGGTCCATAAAATCCTTTCGGACATCGACATTTAAATGGTGCACCAGATGTTATGATATCGGTGGTGAAACATGTACCGCCATTGGCACATGGATTCGTTTGACACTGATCAATAAGCGTTTCACATTGTTCTCCACGGAAACCGGGTGCACATTGACAACGATATTTGCCCATCATATCATGACATATACCGCCATGCATACATGGATTTGACCAACATTCATTCTGCTGAAATTCACAGTTGAAACCATATGTACCGTTGGGACATTCACAACGATAACTGGATATTTCATCAACACACGTTCCACCATTCGAACATGGATTCGATAAGCATTCATTGATTTGACTTTGACATAACATTCCTAATCAAATCACAAAACATCATTAGAGTGAGAAAATAAATATAGACATGGAATGAAAACATACCTGTATAACCTGGATTGCAAATACATTTAAATGAATTGATCATATCGACACATTTGCCATGAAAACATGGATTCGATTCACAATCATTGATGTTAAATTCACAATAACGTCCACTAAAACCATCCAAACATGTACAAACGGATGTTTCCGGTCGATTTGGTGTCTGAATTTCATTATGACATGTGCCATTATTACGACATGGATTTTTATAACATTGATCGATAACTTTTTCGCAATTGATTCCATCAAAACCATTAGTACAAAGACAGCGATAACCGTTGATCAGATCGGTACATATAGCATTATTATGACATGGATTAGATTGACATTCATCAATATTTGATTCACAATGTACACCAGTATAGCCTATGATGTTTTGGAAAGGAAAAAATGAAAGAAAAAACAAAATGATCATCATCAATTTCTCAAATGAAGAAAAAATTTTCTCACACTCAAACAAAATGTAATGTAAACAGGTATCATCATTTTCAAATAGATATTGTTATGATTAATAAACAAAAATTTTCTTTTTATTTGAAAGATTTTCACGATGATATCATCATCATGTCAATGGACAAATATTTACCATTCTCACACACACACACACACACATCAAGATGAAGATGAAGATTCTCAAGGATTTCCGAAAATTGACGATAGATGTCACTAAATCAATTTTTTTATTACAAATAATGACGGATTATATATTGAAATAAATCGTGGGAATAAACCGATACAATGCAAATAAATAAATAAATGAGAAAGAAAATAACTGAATATAACCGACACAAAAACCCTTTTTAACTGGCCGGTGTCAATCAAATTGATGATTTGATTCATTTTTTTTTCATTTTTTTATGGCGTCATTTTGGCTGTGAGAAAAAACAAATATCATCATATACATCTTACACAACTAAATGTTTGTTGTGATGATTCAATAAGAAAATGGCTACTAGATTTATCCGAACTAAATCAATTTATTTAATCATCAACGAATATCAAATTACAACTACAACAGCAAAATGGATATATTTTTTTGATCAATGATAATAATCATAAGATCCGTGATTAATCGTATCCGGAAGTAAATGAAAATTTATGAATGAACACTATTGAATTGCAAAGCTATTTTGACTGGCATCATATTCTTCTTACGCCATTCATATTATTTCTTTCATATTTAAATCAATGAATCATCGATTTCTTTCAATTCGGATCTAATTTTTTAGAATAAAAATATTGAGGCTAACACCACGAATAATCATTATCACTATTTATAACAAACAGTGTATATTTTCTATTGGTGACACAAACAGGAGAAAATGAATATTACATACATAGTCGTTCGTTCTGTTTTTTTTTGTGATCGTTCCCACGATCGCAACACACAACACTCAACATCGATCGAGATTTTTTTTTCATTGATCGTCACCGTTGTTGTTGTTTGTTTGTTTGTTTGTAATCGATGCAATTTGAGGAGACAACGACCAAAGAGAATAAGAGAAAGAGAGATTCAGATGCCTAATTTACAATCATCACTATCATTCACTTACAAGTGCTCATTTAACATAATGATAATTCATTGCATAGATAGAAGAAAGATTTTAATGTTATGTTAATTCGTGTGTTTATCGATTGGATTCTCTTGTAAAATCAATTTCACAAAACAAACAAACAAATAAAGATTCATAGGTCATTGGTCGGGGATTTAAAAAAAATACCGTTTTGTTATGACTATCATTGGTTTTTTTCTTTGGTTAAATATGTGGTTGATTAGTTCAAAACAAAACAAAACAAAAACTTGGTTATTATCATTTTGTGATCAAAGGCTATCATGAAATGTTGTGAAATTGTGGTTCAAAGGAGAAAAAAATAGCATTCTAATTTATTATTTGGTTCAAAGTTCATTCAAATTCAAATCGTTCGAGAGAAGAAAACAAAAAAAATAACGATCAGACATGTCAAACCAGGTGAAATTATTTGTTGTTTTGTTTTTTTTTCTCAATTTTTTACCCTTCAGGTAAATAACGCGTGCACATACACACACACACCTAGTAACATTTGTGCCCTGAGCGATCATTCGAAATGAATGAATAAAAAAACTGAATGGTCAGTGAATGAATGGAAAGGAAACGAACCAACAATAAATGAATAGATGAAAAAACTTTTAGAAGAGAAGAAATTATTCGAATATCATAAATTATTAGACTAAAATTTTGTTTTTCATTTTGGAACAAACTTGTTATTCATAAACAAATAATAATGATAATAATAATAATAATCTTAACCAAAGATTTTTCTATGGAATTTTGTAAATCATTTTTCTATGATTGTTTTGTATTTGCTTATACCAATCAAGTTTTTTATTATTATTATTATTTTTTTTTTGCATCGACTAAGACCGATAAAACTATGATGATTCTATGATAAGATGTTTGTGTGAATGGCTAAAAAAAAAGTTCAAGTGATGGTGTGTGTGTGTTTTGAACATATATAAATAAGAAGCTTATGATGGTAGTCTGTGACTAAACAAATATTATCACAATAAAAAAAAGTAAAAAAAAACAAATCATATAAAGGTAAAGGTCAGGTTTTGGTTACCTTCCTTGTTCTGATTTAAGAAGAACAAAAAAAGTTTTCATTTCATCATCTATCTATCTGATTGGGTTCGTGTTAGTTTCCCACCTGTGTGTGTGTGTATGATGTAAATTGACATTTACACCGAATGAAAATGAATAAAATAAACATTACATAATGGTAAGAATCATTGGCATTGATGATGTTAAGAACTGGTTATGGTGGTTCATTTTGATGCTTTTTCGTTCTTTACTCTCTGTGTGTGTGTATAATGTGATGTGATGTCGGTGACCATGAACCTCATCAATTTTCAATGGAATTGATTTTTTTAGATGTTATGGTTTTTTTTTGTCTTTCAAAGGAATTTCTATATAAGTTTAAGAATTAAATAATGCTTATTGATTAGAGAATACTTTATTTTAAAAAAATCTATTTTCACTCTCATTGAATGAATATTTCGGTAGCTTGTATGTATTGTATTTTGTAGGAATTTTCATTCTATTCCATTTTTCGTTGATCAAAATTCAAGTGATGGTAAAACATAAAATGTGAAACACAATAAGGGTCATTATCTCAATCAATATGGCTAGTGGTCTTTGATTGGATTGAATAGAATTGAATAAATCTAGTCAGACATGTTTTCAATGTTTGCATCTTGCCCATCAAAAAAAAATAGGAATAGAAGTGGCAAAAATCTTACTTTTTATCACTTTTCATTTAAATTCAAGGTGAGAGTTGTCTAAGAAAAAATAAAAATATTTGACTATTTTTCAAAAGAATTCAATCAAATAGATTTTGGCCATTTTTGTACAACTAATCACATTCGATATTCAACAAAAAAAATCAAAACCAAAACCATCGGAAACTAAAACGTGTTCATAACTAACAACTAACAACTAGGCCATATGTAGGAAATTATGATTCTCACGCCGGTATATATGATTTTAAAGTTTATATCAGAAAAAAATACAAAATAACCAAATCAAAGAAGAAAAGACCCGAGAGAGAGAGAGAAAACCTTTTTCTTTATTGTTCCCATTTGGAATGTCATTATTGTCATTGTGTATATAAATGTAATTGTGATCGACCTTTCCTTTCGCATGTTGATGAACGAACGGTTTCTCCTGGACTTGATCTTTTGCCTGTGACACACACACAAAATAACAAAGCATAATCAAAAAAAAAGTTTGTTTTTTCCACTCTGTGCCATAATACAATAAGATCCTGAAACACACATAGACAAAGATAGAGAGGGAAGAAAAATCGAAAATAAATCTAGATCAAATGTGAATGAAAAAAAGAAAGAAAACGAGAGAGATGGTAATATAAGACGATGAACAAACGAATATAAATCGTTTCCATTAGTTTTTTTTTCGAAGCAAAAAAAACACCCAAAATCAAACAACACTCAAGCAAGGTCAAATTTTTCGACTTCAACAAAAAAAAAAACTTGATCAATGAAAAAAAAATATAGGGACCAGATGTCCTCTTCTTTGTGGTCTTTTACGTCGGTGTGTATGGAACATTATCAACCATAAAAAATAACTTGAAGAAAATAAAAAAAAAAGAAGAATTTACTTTCGGTTTGAGGCAGTCAAAGGACCTTGTGACCTTTTTTTTCACTATGTTTTCTCGTATCACACACACACACATACTTTCTCAATGACCGATCACCATTATCATCATCATATCACAAAATATTTTTGCTGTTGCTGTTGTTGTTCGAACAAGTAAAAGTATTTTGAAAACTAAACTGAACTAAAAAATAAAAAAAAATTTCCAAAATTCAAATCGAAATCTTTCGTGCACGACGACGTTTAAAGAAAAGGAAAAGAACGAATAAAAATGATGGGTACTTTGGGATGATTATTATCTATCTTCTACTGCTCTCCTTTTCTTTTGCACGATGATGATGATGATGATGATCAGGACTAGCCCAATAATAATAATAATAATAATCATATTGTATGAAATGAAAACCTATTCTTATATGATGATATGATGAAGATTCTACCATCATCATTCTTCCAAATGATGGTCATGATCTTTCTGAAGAATCATTAGCAATCATTTTCGAAAAAAAAGTAATTTCAAGAAAAAAAAGGCCAAGGGTGATCATCATAATAATAATAATAAAATGGACGATGATGACCATATGGTGTACACAAAGTATCGATGAATAAAAAAAATTCAGTCATGTTTTTTTGTTTTTGTTTTGGTTATTAACAACCAAAAATAAAAGCTCAAAGTTCAAAGAATGTATCATATCATTTGTTTCCGTTTTTTTCAACGAATTAAGAGAAATAATAAATCAAATTTTTTGGTGATGAAATGAAATGAGAAAAAAAATGACAAATTTCTTTTCAACATCGATTCAAAATTGTATGAATCAGTAAGAAATAAAAAAATAATCTGAGAAAATTTTTATAAAAAAATGTCATCAATATGATCAGAAGCTATTGAACATTGAATCTGACCACACACATATACATGATTAATGATAATCTTTATCATCATTCATGTAAAATATAATCCGATCAGATATTGATGATGATGATTTTTCTTCACAAAAAAAAAGTTTTCATATGAGAAAAAATATTATTTCATTTCGTTTCAATTTGTCATTAATTTTTTCGTTGTTTTTCATTTCATCTGATAATCAAAAAGAAAAAAATGGAAAAACTTACCGGGCATACAGACACAACGATATGATCCACGTTCATCCAAACAGGTACCTTCATTTTGACATGGATTCGAATCACATTCATTAATATTAACTTCACAACGGGCACCAGCAAAACCAATAGCACAATCACAACGATATGATCCGGGTGTATTGACACAGGTACCACCATGTTCACATGGTGAACCACTATCATGACATTCATCAATATCTTGCATACAATCCGTTCCTTTATAACCGGCTGGACAGCTACAAACATAGGTACCATCAACTGGATTTGTATCACAGATTGCACCAGCTGTATCAAAAAAAAAAGAAAAGAAAAAGAATTAATCATTTATCAAACGAACAAACAAACAAATTCAGCAATAATCTAATTAGATTTGTAATCAATAATCAAATAAAAAAACCAAGTAAGGCACAAACACATCTGTGCAATCCAAATAATAATAATGATATGTAATTAATAACTTCTACCGAAAAAAAACAAAATTTATGAATCTCAAAAAAAAATCGTCGAATCAAAAAATAATGATTCGCTAGGGCCTATTGGGCTCACAAGTCAAGTGTTTGTGTGTGTGTCATATACAACAAAAAAAAAGACCCAATTTGATTAACCAAACAATAGTGTATATGATCGTTGAAAGTAACAAAAATAGCACAAACATAATCAAATGATGATAATAATAATAATGAATATTTAATCCTCATCACATCAAATGATAGAAAAAGAAAAAAAAACATCCCTAAAATAGAAATATAAAAAAACGAATCAAGTGTTATACTTTTTATATTAATGTTTGTTGATTATTATTAGAATATTCAAAAGAAGAAAAAAAAATCTGGCATCATTGACCGAAAAAAATATATATATTTGGGTTCCTGAATTCCCGAATGGACGAATACCGTTCATTCGACGACATCTGTTCATTCTATTGATGCAAGACCATAGTAAAAAAGTGGGAGAGAGAGAGTGTGTATTTCCCACACATACCAAACCGCACAATCATTTCGAGTACCGTTTGTTTGTTTGTTTGTTTGCATCATACTAAAAATAGGACAATAAAAAAAAGGAGATGTTTTGTTTCTCTTGTTTAATGATTTTGGATTTATTTCATTTTGTTTTTTTCAAAATTCTAAACCGCTTTTGGCTAAAATTAACGATGATCAAATTACAGTTTTCATTTCATTTTTTTCATTTATTGAATTCATGATAATAATGATGGACAAATGTTCAAAAAAAAATATCAGAAAATTCTATCAATTTTCAGGTTCAAGGATTCATATCAATGGTAAAAAAGAACGGAAAAAAATTCACTTGATTTTCAAGTTTGATCTTCTGTTTTTCCTATGAATGAATGAATGAATGATGAATCCCCGGGCAAAAGATTTGTTTTTTTGCTCTGATTTTGTTTGCCAAAAAAAAAATATTCGTAAAAAATAAAACGTTTTTTTCGATTAAAAAAACAAACTTAAGATTCGTGAGAAATGATGATGATGATGATCTTTTTTATGTTGTTGCTGCTAAGCTTATAAGAATAACGAATACGTTTATCACCATCATCATAAATGTGTGAGTATCATCACTGAACATCATCATCATCATAAATTTTTATAGATTCTAACGAAGAAGGCGTAACTTATTATTGTCAAATGTAACCACTAATTCATGTCACAAGCTTGGTGAAACAATTTCATTGATAATTGAAATTCATTCGAAAGATGCAAACAATTTAAATTGAAACTATAATCAATAAGGTTAATTGAACTTTTCTAATTATTTTTTCTTTTCTTTTTTTTATCGAAACAAAAATTCACTCCATAACGATAACAGATTAACAACATTATCATCATTATAATGATTAATAATTATGATGAGAAAAATTTTTCTTCATTGTTCTAAATGATGACATGTTTGTGCACCTATGTTATCGAAAACACAATCGATTATCAAAGGAAATGATTCATTTTAAACACATTTTAAGGGTTTTGATTTTTGATCGATCAATTTGTGATGGGAACACACGATTATCGATCAAGAAAGCTTTTCACAAATCATAATAATCATTTGATTTCATATTGTATTTGGGAGCAAGGATTTTGCAAAAAAAAACTAATTATCGATTAGCTTAATCGATTTTGATCAATCAATCATACAATCAGAGTGTTTCGCTTGATTGGTGTTTTAGAGGATTATTGAAATAAACAAAACAAAAAAAGGACACTTACTGTGACATGGATTGGATGCACAAGCATCATCCAGATGACATAACAATCCGGTTTTACCCGGTGGACATTGGCAATAATATGATCCAACACGATCATGACATGTAGCACCGTTGAAACATGGAGCGTTAGCACAATCATTTATATTTTCAGCACAAGTCGGTCCAGTCCAACCATTCACACAGATACAATTGAATCCACCGATAGTATTGGCACATGTTGCACTATTTTGACATGGTTGTGGTTGTAATGAACATTCATCAACATCTTGCGAACAATATGGACCAGTAAAATTTGATGGACAAAGACAGGTATAGGTATTGATGCCGTCAATACAAGTGCCACCGTTTTGACATAGATTACCACCACAATCATCAATGTTCACTTCACAATCACGTCCAGTAAATCCAGCAGGACAATTACAATGATAAGTTTTTGAAAGATGATCGGCGATACAATCACCGCCATTCTGACATGGATTGTCTGTTTTACAAGGAATGTAAACTGTTTCACAACGTTTTCCAGTATAGCCAGCTTCACAATTACAAACATATGATCCAGGCACATTGATGCATGTTCCTTTTTGGTTACAGGCAAGATCATCACCTAATTCTTTACATTCATTAATATCTTCAGAGCATGTTTTACCACGAAAACCGGGTGAACATTCACATGAGAAACCCGTACCATTTGAATGCGATATACAATGTGCACCATTCCGGCATGGACTTGATGCACAATTATCACGTTCTTCACAAAGATCACCACGCCAACCGGAAAGACAATTACATTGATAATGTTCAAGATCGGTATGAAGTACACAACGGCCACCATTGCGGCAAGGATGTTCACGTTGACAGATGTTGGGTGTTTCTACTTCACACATACTGGCCGAAAAACCTAACGGACATAAACATTTGAATGATGGTGGCTGATCGGTAGCGATGATTGTTTGACATGTTCCACCATTGAAACAGCGATTCATATCAAAACAAGGATTCGGATATTCACAACTTGAACCTACATATTTTGGTTGACAGCTAAAAAAAGCAAAACAAATAAACAAGATAGATATTTTCAAGCAATGTTTGCAACCATAATCAATTTGGAATATAACGATAATTGATAGAAACAAACAAACTTACCGGCAATAAGATTTCATTGTATTTGGATTAACAATACATTGACCATCGTTGAGACAATTATTATGATAACAACGTACTGGACGATATGATATTGAACTCGATGTTGCCGGTGCTAATGGATAGGAATTTCGATTATAATATGATGAGGATATTTGTCGATTATTATTACGTCCATTATTACTTCCATTCACTGATGATGATAATGATGTTAAATTATCGTCATCGACGATTATCATGTCATTGGCAAAATAATCATCATTATAATCAATTGATGATAAATTCGATATGATCGAATCATTTGTTAATGATGAATTTGTCGTGGAAATAGGAAAACAATTTAAATTATTAAAATTAATAAAAATTGATAATAAAAACAATAAAAATGGGAAAAGGAAGAATCTATCCATGTTGATCAAGTAAAACATTATCACCAATTAAAAAACGAAAAGATATTCATATTCCAAAATGTAAAAGGAAAACAAACGGTCACCAGTGACAAACTGACAACTGATTTATCCGATGGATGGATAGATAGATAGATTTAAACAACATCAATAAAGAATGGATAAAATTTCAACGGTCGTCGATAGTATTTTGTCAGTTAAATTTTTTTTTTCCATTTCCATCCATGTTAGATTCAGCAACAGTGTTTTTTAGTTTTAACCCCCCTTGAACCAACACCACCACTATCTCCACCACTACTACTGCTACTACTACTACTACTACTATCATAACCATCGATACCCGAATTCGTTAATCAGATGTGTACATTGAATTTTGAATGAAAATTTCCTAGCCAATGTTTGAGCAACAAGGTGAAAATTTTTTTTTCGTAATGATAATGATTTTCATTCGAGGTGTGGTGTTGATGTTAGTGCGGGAGGAGGTTCAACGACAATCAATTCAATTCAATTCAATTGAATGATGATGATGACTTTTAATGAAGCTTTGGATATGAATGAATGAATGAAAGTAAAAAAGCTAGCGCAACCAGGTTTTCCCATGAACAGACATGATGTATACAGCCAACATCTGTTCATTTTTGTGTTTGCATTCGATAAAGTCCAGTGATCGAGTTTTTGGTTATTAAATGTCACCAGGATACAACACAAGGACCCAGTTTTAGACTAAAACCAAAACAAAATAAAAAAAGTATTGAATCCAAGTATAGAATTATTATTGTAACCAAAAGTTATTATTATTGTAACAATAACAATAACCACAGAACAATCGATTTTTGATTATGTAAACAAAGAATAAAAAGTAATCATTCAAAATTAATCACCAACTTCCTAAGCAACAACAACAAAAAAAAAGAAAGGGCTAATGATCATATTGAGAATAATCATGTGAAGAATGTGGACACTTGGGATAAATTCAATCAATATCAAAATGACTGACTGAGAATTTGAAAATCTGCTACATTCACATTTTTTTTGGGAAAATTTTTTTTTGAAATGAAAAAATACGCAGCATGATAGATTGAAATATGACACAGAAATACATTGATTGTAATTATGACATTATTTATTTCATAACTAACTAAGGGCAAAAGGATTGGCTCATTAACTTTTCATATATTTGTGTATATATGACACTTTATCTCTTCTCACAAACAATGTATATGTTCAAATTCAGAATTCAAATACAATATTTTTTTTCTAAAGCTAAACAGTTTGTATTGTGAATTTAATTATTTTTTCTTTCTCGGTAAATCAATTGATTTTACCATATCGATAATTGATAATTGATTCGTTTGGGATATTTGTGTGTTAGTGTTGGTGGCCACGCGTTTTTTTTTTGTTGTTGTTTCGTTATGAAAATTCATTTTTCTTTCATATTGTCTCGCGATTGAGAAAGAGGTAGTTTTGCAAATTCTGTCAAAAAAAAATTGAACAAAAGTATTTGTCGAATCGATTGTTCAGTTCTTGGTTACTAATCTAAAATTACTTGACCAAAGTATGAAACGATATGGTGGTGGTCATGTAACAAAGATTATTTAAAATACTGAGCTAACCAAAAAAAAAAAAAAAAAAAATTTTTTTACCCCCCTGGGTCGATGAAATAAAAAAATTTTAAAAAAAATTTTTAAAAAAAAAAAAAAAAAAAAAAAAAAAAAAAAAAAAAACAATTATTTTACCCTCCTGGGTCGATGTAATAATAATAAGATAAAATCTTATTACATTTATAGAAGAAAAAAAATTCTTATATGATTACGACGACGACGAAAATATTGAATTTCGAATGAAAAATTTTTCAGCAAACAGATTGAAATTCCATGATAATTATCAACAAACAAACAAAAAAAAAAGGAAATCAAATATGAAAAAAGTCACACACACAGAGACAAACAAGAATAATGACCGGAAATTATTAGTTCACACTTTCACTACTTTTCTTTTCTTTTAGGTTTGATTTGATGAGAAAGCGGATCTTATTTTCTTACAATCAAAACAAAAACAATTTGGATGATGATGATGTTCAACCATGGATAGACAGATAGATTTTTGTTTTTGTTTTTGGTGTGGGGGTAGACAAACTAAACTAAACTAAACACTACTTACATGTTGAATTAGAGATCGAATATGGATAAAATGATGATGATAATGATGATGATGCGTATGATGATTGATTAATAATGATAAACATCAAATAAATGATGACAAACATTGAAAATTGTTGTTGTTGTATGGCAGCCATTGTTATTTATTTCCGATGTGAAACAAACTTTACAATGAATGAAAAAAAAACGAGATCAGATAAAGGCGCTTAGCGCCGATGAATAAAAAGAATTTGATGAAACAAAAAGAAAGAAATTTTTCACAGAATTTATTTTTTCAATTCAATAAACACGATAGTCTTGAGTGAAACAAACAAACAAAAAAATTTTGCTGAATTGGAAATATTATTTAGTGTTGAAACAAAACAAAAAAAACATTGATGATTGATTGATTGATTTTTATTTTTTGTTATGGATAAATTAATCAATATTCATCATTTAAACATGTCACACACAATCATCACACAATCAAATATTGCTTTAAACACATTTCAACAATTTCTTTTTTCATTCATTCATTCATTTAGCTTCTTGTTATTAATCGAAAAAGATATATTTGTGTTTTATCGTTTCTGTTTTTTTTGTCAATAATCTAATATCGACAACGAAAAAATCCGATGATATCACAACAAAAAAAACCAAATATATAATGATGAGTGATCAATGAAATGAATGATGTTTCATTCATTCAGTTCTTTGATTGATTATCGTCATCATTTTGGATAAAGTACACAATTTCAATAAATTGTTGGTTAATGTTGATGATCCAAAATTCATGAATATAAATAACAATTTGTAATTTATACGAATTAAACAAAAAAAAAAACCCAAAAAAAGATGTAAAAGTTGAATCAAAAATTTTTCGAAAAAAATGATATTTATCATTAATAATTGAGATAATAGGCACTGAAAATGACCAGATGATCGAATTGATAAATTGTGAGGATATCAGAAGGTGAAGAAATTATAGAACAAAATTTTTGAAAATTCAATGTTTATTTAATTAGAGATCAAATGTTTCGAAAAATGATGTAAAAATTAAAAACAATTCAAAAAAAAAATCTAATCATAAAGCTGGCATAATAAGTTGGCATATTTCAGCTTTCATTTACGAACAAAAAAAAAATTACATTTAATGTATGTTACACGAATGGCTGCCAACAACCAACTGATTTTTTGTCGAAAGATTGAACTGAATCGTTTGGAAAGAGTGGTAGGTTTGATCTAAAGCTAGCGTAGAGAGAGATCCAAGCTTGTTCCCTCCTTCCTTTCTGCCTTAGCTTGCTTGATGATGATGATGATCTGGTTCTGTTCAAAGAACAGAACAAACACACAACATTCTCGAAATGATATCTTGCCTTCTGTACTTGTTCGATTCGATATTAAAATAAAATTAAAAGGCATGATGATAATGACAAAAAACTACCATATAAATATGATGAACAGATTGGATTCGGATTTTTTTTCTCATTGATCATTATTTGGATGTCCAAATTCAATCAACCATACATATCGAACAGAATCAATCGAAAAGATCGTGGAATTTGATTATCAAATAAAATTCAAAAAAAAAAATTCAAAATTCATATCGACAATCATAAAAAAAACCTCTAGTTGTATTCCTAAACAATTTTTCGCCGTTTGTTTTTACCGCTGTTTTTTTTTTGTTACCATCAATAATTTGATCAGTAAATATATAGAATTTTTTTTATTTCCATCAAACAAGGTACGCGCATTTATAACCAAAGCTAAGAAATGAAGAATTTATAACTATAGCCAATGATGGCCAAGGGCCAATATCGACGGCGACAAAGATGATTGTAATTTTCCAAAACAAAACAAAAAAAACATTCGTTTATTTTCAACAAGAAAATTAGTGACAATAATCGCCATCATCTCATTATCATCAAGAGATATGACCGTAAAAAAATCGACCAAAAAAAAGCAAAGTCAACGACGACTAAGAAAGATGAATCGAAGACTATGATGATGGCTGGACATTGAAAATTGTTGTAGAACCCAGAACAACAACAACAACGAGGACGACGTTGAAAAAAAGCGTGAGAAGTAGCTTGCGGGCACGCAGTGAAAACAACTAAAAAATAAAAATAAAAAGATTGTTCTATCATCAAAACGACGAAGACGAAGACTACGACGACGATAATGGTAAAAAAAGCTGCTTTTGCTCTCGATGTTTTGAAAAGATATATGAAGAAGTTGTTGAAATGTCCATGTTGTATACATTCATACAACAACCACCACCATCTGAATTTCAAAATGTGTGAATTGTCTCTGTATACCAATTGAAATTTGAAATGAAATAAAAATTGAAAAAAAAGAAAGCGAATAAAAAAGTCAAATAAGTAAATTATCCATTAAACTTTTTTTCCTCTCACTCTTTTTCTCTTTTTTTTTGTTGAAAAAAATGATGCATAAATAAGCAATTTAAATAATCCAAACAAGCACCAACAAATTTAAAGATTGAAATTCAATTCAATTCAATTTTTGTTTCTTTTTGTTTGTTCGAGTATTTTGCAAATAATTAAAGGATGCCATAGGTGGTGATCAGTCTTTCCTTTCGAAAAAAGAAAAGAAGTTAAGCATAAAGCTGAGAATTGTTCGAGGACAATGTCATTATTTGATTGGCTAATGATGATAATGATAATGATAATGATGATAGCTGATATTATGATTGAAATTTGTCAGTCAAAGTCATTATCATTTAATCTCTTAATCAATCAATTTAATCGATATTTTAATTTCTTTAGTTTCCTTTCTATCAATTGCACCTCCCAATCAATCAATCGATCAATCAATGTAACACAATCAAATGTTTCAAAGTAATTTCATAGGAAATTTTTTGTTTTTGTTTTTTGCAAATGAAAATTTGTCATCATCATCATCATTATCATGTCAAGAAATGATCAATGATTTTTTCCGGATATGGAACATCACATATGTTTAATGTGGATAACATGGAATTTTAAAATAATTTGTCTTTGGAATTTATCTATCACCGTATTATTTATATTGGATTGAGCAGATGTTTTTTATTTTTATTTTTTTGATCACTTTAAGTATGTTTCGGTGTTGGTCAATATCATTTGTTGCTTGTTTTTTTTTGATTCTTTAGGTTCATTCATTCTTCCAACATTTGGTTATAAGTCAATATTACCAACTAGTAGTTGTAGTAGTAGTAATAATAGTAATAGAAAGATGTATTCAAAAAAAAACCAATACAGTGACCTTTGACCGCTCTAGAAAGTAGAAATAGTATTTAGTTTCGTTTCTTATCGTTTTCCTGGAAAACATTTCCGAAACAACCAAAAGCGAGTAGTAGTGGCAAAAAAAAACAAAAAAAAAACAGCAATCAATCGACCTAGCTTGCCAAATAAAAATTTTTTTAAAATAATTTTTAAGGATAGGTCCTAGTCAAACCACTGATCATTGATTTTGGTGTTTGTTTATCATTCATCACGATTGTTGTTGTTGTTGTGAATATGAAAAAAAAATGTTGAAGGGAAAGAGAGAAAAAACATCTGCTTTGGATTTTGATTTGCAAGTAGTGTATATGGTTGACATATCACACATTCCTGTTTCTGGAGCGAAACAACAACAACAATAGATTTGGTATTTGGATCAATTTTTTATGAAGGGGAAAAATAAAAAAAAAATTTGTCGTCCACAACACTTGACCATCCATTCTATAGATAATTTATTCATTTTTAAGTCAATTTAATTGTGCTAGTTATCTTCATCATCTTTATTCAATGATGATGATGATTTTTTTTTGTTGTCATCATTACACAACTAGTAGATGTGGATGAAAAAAGAGAGCAAAATATTAGAAACTCTGTAGCTGATTCGGTCGACCGTATAACGTAAAACAAAACAAAAAAAAAACGATGAAGCGAAACATACGAAAAAAAAACGCGAGTCAGGTCCGAACCGTGAGAACCAGAAAAATATTCATTTTTTCTTTCTCTCTCTCTTTTGAATATACTTCGGCTTCTGTTTTTTTTTTGGTTCTCTCTCTCTGACTTATATTCAAGCTGATGATAATAATAATAATAAGTATGCAATTGACAAAAAAAGAAAGAAAGAAAATCACTACCCTCAACATCATCAAGTAAATACGTACAACAAACATAGTATACGAGCTATAGCTGCACGAGCTATATATTGAAGATTTGATATTGGTTGTAGGAACCTCTCTATCCGATAGATAGAGAAGATATCATGCGGATATATGGCCGACATCTTTCCCTTTCGACAAGATTGATCTTAGAGAGGGAGAGAGAGAGAGAGAGAGCGTGGGATAACAACAAATACTAAACATACCGATCATCATCATCATCATCAAATGAGGGGAAATGCTATGGGTAGTAAGTAATGTGACAGTATTATTATTATCTTGCTTGTCATCTTAGCTTGCGTAACTTGCTTTCTATAGTTACGCCTGTATTATCATTGTTTAACTAATTTGTTGCATCATTGTTGTGAGATTTATAATCATGAGATTTCATTCATTATAAATATTATTCTTTATAAAAGTGAATCTCTTAAAAAGATGGTTAGTGTGTTAATGGTGATCATCATCGTCATAAGAATCTTTGATAAATTGAATGATTTCTTAAGATTCATAAAGAAAAAAAAATAAGTTAGCTGCCCTTGGGTTGTCACATACACACACACACACACTCCCACTTTCGTAAATGTTTCCCATCAAATTTTATTTTATTTTTTCATTCAAAAAGATTCACATGAATGAATTTCGTATCGATCGAAATTCAAGAAACCAGGAGGAGAGAACCTGATTCTGAAAGGAAATACTTTTTCTTTCGATCAAGATTTAAATTGAATTAAACATTGTTGCTAAATATTTAAACTAATTTTTTTCATTCATTGTGTGAAAAATATTTTCAACAAAAAAAAATTTTGCATAAAAACTAACAAACAGACAAAAACGTGATCAAAATTTTGAGATAATTTTTTGTTTTGTTTAAAATATAGAATTTCAATATGGTTTTCATTTCGTTTGAAATATTTGATATGATCAGATCATGTTTAGATCATCAACATTGATCATAATTTTAATTTTAATTAGTAGTTTTTATCCAATTAGTTTGAATGCAATAAAACAATCTCGAACGATGAATTGTATGAGCAAAAAATTAGATCAATGTCTTCAACATATAATGTACGTAATGAATAATTCTAAGCTATTATTTCCGGAAACTTATCCAGAATTACAACTAACATGTCAACTATTGGAATATGGTGATAATTGTACACAACGTTATATTGATCAATGTATGCCATTGCTGATTGGTAAAATGATTTGGAATATGATCAATGATACAAGAAATGTTTTACAACTAATATGCCATAATTTAACCATACAAAATGGTAATTGTTAAGAAAATAATTTAATTAAATTTTTATTTAAAAAATTGATTTTTCATCAATCAGATTATCTACGATATGCATCATGTTTCAAACGAACGGCCACCATAAATTGTATGGATATTGTCAAACAAATACAAACATTATCCACATCAAATGTTAATATTCAACAATTTTGTTGCATTTATAAATCATCAGTTGATTGTCAACATCGTTCAATTATCAAGGATTGTCATATGGAACATCATGATAATAATTCAGCTAGATTTTTTCTTGAATATTCAACAAAAATTAGTGATTCATTATTAATGCAACATTGTCTTACCTATACACATTTGAATCAATGTTTAACAGTAGATAATAATCAATTAACCATTACAAAATTCAAAAATTCATCAACATCAAAGCAATTTGATTCAACCATTAAATTCATAATGATAATAATAACATTAATAATCATATCATATTATTATAATTTTATAAATATTCAAATTAGAGTTTAGTTTTTATTATAGACAGAGAAAAAAAATTGTCATCAAAAAAAAATTAATTTTTCAAATAGATATTATATAAATTAACCAATTCATTCATTCATTCATTCATTAAGACAAAAAAAAGTAAATGTTAATTAGTTGAAAGCGTTCGTTTATTGGTGTGTGTGTTTTATATGTTTACATTGCAATTGTCTATCTTAAGTATTTTTTATTTTTTTTTTTGTTTTAAATATTATGATTCTACCTGGATGAGGGAAAACAGAATAAATAGTTCATGATATCTGTGTAAATGTTTTATTGAGCTTTAAAGAATGTATTAAATAAATTGATATATAATATTTATTTGTTTGTTTGTTTATCAATCAAGAATGGATGATGTATCAATCAATGGAATATGATAACGTTTTTGGGCAATAGAATTTGTATTTGAATTATTAACAACTAAACGTCCTATACTACCACTTTTTGTCAATACTGTTGTTGATGGCTGTCCATCATTATCGGTTATATTGATTGTTGGCAGATTGGATAAACTATTACTATTTGCATTATTACATTGTGTGTTTCGGTATTGGTGTTGTTGTTGTTGTTGTTGTTGCGGCTGATGATGACTATCTAAACCGGAACGTGGTCGTGGTACCAGATTCTTGGCCAATTGTAAAGATTGTTTGTTTTGATTATTGTTATTATTACTGGAAATCAATTGGGTAGATGATTTTGATGATGCTGTACGACGCCAAGTACCAGTCATAATATTTTGACTTGATAAAGGTTGTTGTGTAGAATTATCATCTAGATCACGATTCAATGTACAATCATCAGAATGGTATACCGATGATGATAATCTTGATGATTGTTTTGTTGTTGATGATGATGGTGGTTTCTGTTGTATCAATAGATTTGAATCACCATGATGATTAGTTGTTGATGATATTTTATTCGTACGATTCATAATAGAATGTGGTAATGAACGTGTTGCCTGACGTATTAGATATGATGCTGATGATTGACCATCATTAATTTGATCATCATGATGATATTGACAATATTGATTATTTGTAACTAAACGTCTTTGTGGTTCATAATCATATTGTTGATAGCCTTGATGATGAACATGAGGATAATGATGATCACTAAATAATAATGGTGTTGAAGACACTTTTGATACAACAACCGATTTTGATGGCGTTGTTGTTGTTGATGTTGGCGTCGGTGGTATCATCATCATTGTCATCTGTGATTGATCATTATAACGATTTTGATGATGATAATGACTATTATGGTGATGACCACCACCAATTGATGAAATTGATGCCAATTTTGATGATGATTGACACATTAATGCAAATTTTAAATCATTCATCATTTCTTCACATATTGTTTCATTCTGGTTTTTTTTAAACAAATAAAAAAACAGAAACGGAAATAAATTTTAAAATCAAAGATGATGATGATGACCTTGTTCGATAATGAATAATTAATATTATAAACGAACTTAAAATTAATTGAAATTAAATCTTAATTCATTTTGTCATCAATAACAACATTTGTTTACTTTTGAACCGTGGGAACTTGAACTTTTCTACGACATTTCAAGGAGAAAAAAAAGAAAATCTAATTATAGTCCATCATTGAATGTGACAAATAATAGCTGATGATTGGATTTGTGTGTGTGTGTGTCTAACGAATGACTGAATGATCTTATCTCGGACTAAATGTAATCTAATTATTATTATAAGTTTCGAGAATCTAGATGATTATGATGGCAATAATAATTATCATCATGTAATTTTTTTTTTGATCAAAGTTAATTTATTGTTCAATCAACACAGACCTGATCATTTTGTTCATAACGTGATTTCCAAACGAATTCAAGTATGACGACAAATAATGAAAAACTTAGGCCACCAAGTAATACGACAAAAACACCGCCAACATTATCAATCTTTAATGGTGTTACCGAACCGGAACTTTTTTTCGGATCATCAATACATTGGCCACCACCTTTTTTCTGTTTCCACCAACGTTCTTTCAATGTTAATAATGCACCACTTTCCTGTAGTTTTAATATTGCCTGTGATAATGGTGTACGATATGGTGAATCTATATTGCAAAAAAAAAAGAATAAAGAACACAAATAAGCATTTTATAGATGAACCAAAAAAGAACTTACCTTTTCGGGTAGCAACACCATATCCTTTGGAATCTAAAAGGCCACCAATCTGTGTTAGATTACAATTTCTTTCAATGATATATTCAATGGATGCCGATTCCATTAGATACGCATACATTCCATCAGCTTTCTCTACCGTTTTTCGACCTTCTTCATTTGATTTCATAAAAACATCCGCATGTTTACTCATGAAATTCCACATTTTCTTATATGTTGTTATATTGGATTCGGCAAAAAATGATGCCGTCGATCCTGATCCAAGGCAACCATATTTGATTTTTTCTTGTGCAGCCAGACCTTCCGCATTTTCGATTGGATAAACAATTTTTTCCACAGTTAAAAAGGCAGCCAAATTAGCCGTATATGATGCAATCATGATCAATGTAAAAAAATACCAAATCGAAGCTATTGTTCGCGTGGACATTGCCCTAAAATATCGATCAAATTTTTAATTGATATTTTAAAGTTTAACAAAATTCACCTACTTTGGAGTTAAATCGGATGCCTGTTGCATCAATGAACCGATTGTAAACCAAAAACTATTTGATAAACTGAATGCATTTTCAAGAACCTGTTCATTCTGGCGACAAGGATGCGGATTTTCCCATTCGTATGGCGATATACGACCAACAATAAATAACATGGATGAAACGCCCACATAAGCACAAACAACATAGATCCAAACAATGTTAGAGAATGGTGAAAGAAATGAAAACAATGATGTCACTTTTTTCGTTGGCTTTTTATATAAAATACTGATTCCAGTGTTCATAAATGGATGTGTAAAATCAACAGCATCTTCACGTTTTGATGTGATTGTCAGATCGGCAACAGCTAGATCAGCTTCACCGCGTATCAATTCACCCATCATACCGTTCCAGTTACCTTCTTTATCGGGTCGTCCATAAGCACCATCTTTGACCAGACGAAATTCATAATTGAAATGCAAAAGTTTTGACAATTCTGATATAAGATCAATTGCATAGCCTTCAAATTGATCATTTCCAATACGTTTGAATGATGAATCTTTGATCATCGTATATGGATCATTCAATATTGTTGTTATGATCAATGTTTTATTTTCTAATGCTGATGATGAATAATGTATTGTCCAATCACGTGATATATTTAATCGACGTTCCGGTTCAACATCTTCGGACCATGTACCGATTTCTTCTAGGCCATTAGGTGAAACAGTTACAACCGATAATGTTATTGATGAACGAAAACCAAGATCATTAAAGCCAACTAAACCGGTTATACCACGAAATTCAATCTGAACCAAAGTAAATTGAACATCATTGAAATGAAACCAAATACACAACCATACATACCGGACGCATGTAATTGATAAGCGAACTACCATGTGACCACGGAACACTACTTTCACAGCTTACTTGCTGTATTTCAATCGATTGTCCATGATCAAGTTCACGTATGGCAGTAGCTAATAATTTAACAGCATCGTAAATCAAAGCCGATTCAGTCTAGAATAATGAAAATGATAAGTAATAACATTAATTGTGACATTAAAAAAGAAATACTTACTGAGATTTCCGGTGAATAATATTTCGGAAATTCAGTACGCCAATCTTCACGTAACAATTTTAGCTCTTCATTTGAATCATCAATTATTTTGAAGGCGGTTATTTTTGTTTTACCAAATTTAAAATCCTCTAAATCGATTGTATGAAGATCCAATTGAGTTATTAGATAGCTATGTGATTCGGTTATTAGGCCAACTTGTTGTGCCTAGTTTTTTTTTTCAGCAAAAAAAAGCCAATCAAGTGATGGGATATTTAAAAATTTAAAATTCTTACATGTTTTAAAGCTCGAAAAATGTTTTCATTTTTCACATCCAGAATAATGTTTCTTTCGCCATCATTTTTTACTTTCCAAAATGTTTCTCGATATGGTTTACCCGGTTTAAATTGATGAAGTTTAATACGCCAATTCAATGATTCAGCTTCTTTGAAAAAATCCTGTAAACGTATTAATCCTTCATTATCTTCGTAAACAATTGCAAATTGATCCCAATTCCATGCTTTTACAATATCAACATAGGCTCGGGCAAGAACATTCGGTTTTGGATAAAGATTTACGGACAGATCATCACGTTTGGTTGTAAAATCCCAGCGTGTTTCTAGATGCGGTATATCTAATGCATCACAAATCGATTGTAAATGACGAGATATGTAACCATCAAGTGGATCGAAAATGGCCACAACACCTGTATGTAAAAGGCTACAAACTTTTTTATCCGCATGAAAACTATCATGTTTTTGTATATGTTCAATTTTCGGTATCAATTTTGTATGTGGCAAAATAATTCGATCCGAATTGATTCGTTTGATGGCCAATTTGAAGGCAATCTCCTGATCCAAACGATCATGTGTAAATACGGCACCTATTCCAGTAACAAAATTCCAATCGAAAAAAAAAAATATATAAATAAAAATTATCAATGACAACAGATGGCAGTACTGAGATAGATTTCAAATTCGAACAAAGAATAAAAATTTAATGGAAACCTACCGACATTGATGGAACTGGGTAATGAATATACAAATGTCGGTATCGAAATCATCATTAATAAAAATAATATTAATGATGATGATGATGATGTATAAGCCATATTAGAA